GTAAGCACTGGTGATGAGAAGTCGTCAGAGCCTCCCCGTTGTTCTCAGTTGAAGGTGTCCTAGTTGTCTTTTACAGTGTAGTTTGCTGCTATTTGAGTACCATACCTGCTGTGTCAAGTTTTCGGGGTTCATCGTCAGGATTTAGGCTCCAATCATGTTGCTCACTGGTCATGAGGAGGAGATTTTTGCTGCTCGTTTTAGCACCGATGGTACTTGCCTTGCAACGGCTGGATTCGATCAAAAGGTTCGTTCCATAGTTTCCTTTCTACTTAATTCTCCGTTACATTACGCATTCAGATATTTCTATGGAATGTATATGGTGAATGCGAAAATTTCTCAGTTATTCGAGGGCACACCGGCGCAGTCATGGATCTTCACTTCAACACAGATTCAAGGTATTGTTGTTCCTTACATATGTTCAGCTCATTGGTTTAGTCCACCTTTACTTTACTTTCAAATAGCAAAAAGATGCAACTATGCTAACAACTATACTAGTTCAGTGAGCAGGACTGGGAAATGCGTCACCCAAGGTTTTTAAACCGTAAACGTAAGAAAAGATACGCTGCAAACTAGTAGCAGAGGCGATGTTATTAACTGAAGTGTGGCTTCTTGACGGACCGGTTATATCCATAGAATATGTTCAGTGCACTAAGTTCAGCGTGCAAGACTTGTGAGCTGTCCTTTTGGAGTCGTAATGGTGAATGAGAAGATCAGTCATATATGCTCAGGGAGGGTCCCACCCATCGTTCCCATAGGTATTATACATTTCCTCGAAGAACCCACTAGCTCTCCCACAAAGAACGTGACCACTTCCTTACGCAAGCCTTGTTCGTATGATGTGCACTTATCTTTATAAGTACCTGCTAGGACTGTATTCGTTAGTCACCGTGAATTTTTTAGCCTGTTGGTATCTGCCGCCACGGACAAAACTGTAAGAGTATGGGACATGGAAACAGGAGCGTGTCGACGGAAATTCAAATCACATGTTGACATTGTAAATGCCTGCCATCCATCTCGACGAGGGCCACAACTGATCTGCTCAGCTGGTGATGACGGCTTAGTGAAAGTGAGATTATATATTTCTTGATTTTTTTCCTCTCACAAAACCATTAAACGCGGAATCAGTGAAATCGTTGAGGTTTTTTTTGAGTATGTCCATTACTGATATGTTGTTCCTAAAAGGTGGTCAAGCACCCACGTGTATGGTATGGGACGCAAAATTATGATCTGTAACTAGTCATAATACTCTTTTTGCTCTTCTCTTTTCTGGCCTGTAGAATGTAACATTTTTTCTTCAAACTGGACACTTTTCGAATGGAATTGGGCTTTTTCGAAACAAACTGGACGTTTTGTTCTGATTGGACAACTTGCTTATTTTTCAAAACAAACTGCTGGAGTGTGCCTGCAAATAGTCGTGCAGCTTGACTAATTTTATCTGTAAAGTATTCAGCTTGATCTGATCTGAAAATCGTCCAGTGTGTGAACTGTGAAACGTCCATGTCGATTCGAAAGCATCCTATTTGACTTCAATGACCTATTTGGTTCGAAAAATGTTCAGTTGAAAGCGGATTTGATGTGTAAAGTGCATTTCAACTACTATCAAAGAAAGTGAAAGGAAATTTTTAAAACAT